GGTGGGCGGGGGAGCGAGCTGCGGATGGGCGGGGGAATGAGCAAGTGAGCTGCGACGCACCGGCAAAAGGGCACTTTGCAGCGACGGGCCAGGACCGGTACGGGCGTTCCTGGAAGTTAATTACTTCCGGGTTCACCGACGAACCGGTTCGTGCAAACCGGTGCAAACTGGGAGGAACCCACTCCTGACAGAAATGATACCATTATTTCAAAGATAAATTTTTAAATTTAAATTTATGTTTATAGACATATTAACAAAACCCTTTGAGAATCAAGAGGCAGATAATGTACCTTCTTGTAAGCAGTAATTCAGGCATTCAATATCAAAGGAATGAAATAAAATAAAAACTGGCCGAAAGTTTATCATAACCAATTTAAACAAACACTCTAGTTTGCGATAAAAAAAGCTGCTCCTTTGATTACAAATGATTGAAACTGATTAATATTTTCTCTGTTTGAATATTATTTGAATATATCGTTAATTTTAAAGTAGTGATAAAAATGTATAGCTTTACCTTTAACAGCTAAATACTCTAAAAGTTTTCAAACAAGTGGGACCTTGTCCTATGGAATAGTATATTTAAAATTCAAACTATATTATGTATCTTTAGCATTATGTACAGAAGAATCCCTGTTGAGCACTTTCTTCTGTTTCAGACATTTTTAACCTCTTGCATTTTTTAAAGATGTGTATCATGAGGTCATCATTCTTTTGTCAATTTAAGGGGAGAAACTTATGTATTAAGATATCACAAAGAGTTTTATTTTTTCAAGATCTAAAGATATTTTGGATTTCATTATAAATGAAATTCAGACTATGGCATTAACTATGCCTAAAATATTGTTCAGATTAAACATACACAGAGACATAACAATAACAATTTTTCAACAATATGATATTTATGGCTATTAATTTTAAATGCAAAAATTTGCTTTGGGTAAAGTTAAGGTGCAATATTAAATAAGAGATGCAAATTTCGTTAGGGCAAAAAAAAGGAGGGCAACATATGCATTTTGTATATATATTCGTTTTATAATAAAGCATACTTTAGTTCTAGAAATTGTAAAAGATATGTATATTCCATTTTTTAAATCTTGATTCTGCCGGTATGCATTATTATTTCTATGCCTTGTCAAAACATAAAATAGAATCTTTAACTTATTTAGTTCCCCAAGAATGTACACAATGAAGAAAACTAGTCTTAAGTTTAAAAATATTTTTCAGGCCACTGTCTAACAAGGAGAGAAAGAAAAGAGTTCTATTACGGTGTGGGAATAAGAAGGAAGAGAATATTGTATACCAACCTCTAACCCGAGTGCCGGTATTATCTGTTCTCTGTACCCCTCCCGCGAGCACCATAGCTACAGCCAGTTTCACAAGATATAATCCAAAAATCTGAGGACACAAGCTTGCTAAAATTTCATTCCTCCCTGCAAAGAAAAGAATAATATATATATATAAGGAGTCGAGCTCTGTGGCTTAGTGGTTAACACATCTGCCTAAGATGCAATACAGCACAGGTTCGATTCCCAGTAAAGG